AAGTGTGGACCACAGAATGTGAAGGAACATCAATAGAGCCCCGGTGCAAAGTGCGGACTGCATAATTATTGTACGGCCGCAGAAATAACTATGCGACCGCACTCAGGAAATGTGCGGTCCGCAGAAGAACCCAGTGCGACCGCACCCAGAATTGTGTGGTTGCAGAGTCAATTCCTGTCAAGATCTAAAGAGAAGTGCGGACCGCACATATAATTGTGCGGCCGCAGAACCTCCGAAAGGGCAATTTTGTCCGAAAATTCTAACTTTATATAAATAGACTATTTTCACGAAATTAGGCCAAGTTTTGAATATTGAAAGTCCTGTAGCTGTTTTTCTTTACCCCTTTAAGCAACTTTAGCTTACTTTGGTGATTTAACATTGAATTTTTATTTTTAATCTTGCAATATGAGTTTTATCATCTTTTCTTCTCTATTTTCCTCTATACCCATTATGAGTAGCTAGATTTTTAGTTAGGGTTGTGACCCAACCCTAGTGTGTGAACCTAATGGATGTTTGATTTATGGCTTATTTATGGTTGGGTGTTTATTATTTAGCCTTGTTCTTGACTTAAATTGTAGAATTAATGGTTGCAAACATTAGTTTATGCCTATTTGACTTGGTCTCTACTTGAGAAAGAGAGACTTAGTCTAGGAAAATTTGGCTAATAAGAATTTGGGATAAAATCAAGAGATTGATAGTCCCAATTAAAGGGTTGAACCTAGAGATAGTAAAACCTGACTTGAGCATTTTATCAACTGTTTTGTTCAATACCCATTTGGACTTGAGAAAGCCAAATTGGGCAAAATCACTCTCTTACCGAGAGGTATTGAGTGAGTATTTGAGTGTTGATTGCTATAATACACCCCGACCAACAAAATAAGCTTTAAGGTTTACAACTTGTTATGCAAACACCTAGGTAAGAGTCATACCCCTAGGACTTTTTATATATTTGAAAACCATCTAAAAACAATATTCTCTAGTTTTACATCCTTAGAATTGTAATCCTTAACGTAATTTTAGAAGTAAAAAAAAAAAAACATATTTGTGGAAGTGCAACCAAGATACTTCACGTGCTTTATCCAAATATATACCACTAATCCCATCTCAGCTCCCTATGGATTCGATCCCGACTCCTTGATGGGTATTATTATTGTAATCGACCGTTTCACAACCCCGAATAGAGGTGTGACTTGAACGAGATCACAAACCTTGCTGCTGACACTGCTGAGGCAGTGCGTGAGATGTTTGCCAATCCAGACCCACCTAGAGTCGAGGATGATGAGATCCAGTTGGCTGATCCGGAGGGCGATGATATTGCTGGGAACACAGAGATGTCCAAGAAGCCATAAGTAGTTTTCTTCATCCTTTCCTCTTTTACTCTTACTTTGCTAAGCATTGGGGACAATGCTTACTTTTATTCGGGGGAGGGGGGGAGGGGGGATAAAGTTTATTTGACACATTTGTCTTGTAATAATTTGATACTTTTTCTTGTTCTTATTTGTATTTAACTATCTTCTCTCTCTCTTACTATGTATATTCATTCTATCTTCAGTAGTTTTGCTCATTAGCTTCTTTATCTTTGTTTTTTCTTATTAGATTCTTTATATTTTTCATATTAGTTCTTATTTTGTTAAGTAGCTTCTTTTTATGTTTTTGTAGATAATAAGCCTTTGGTTTTCTTAAGGCCACGGTTTTTTTCAAAGGTAGTTGTTGTGTGAATCGGGTGACTCGTCCCAACGATGGATGGCGTGACAACCTTCTTAAGGGAATGAATCTGTTTTTGTATTTAAGTAATAATAGTAGTAGTAATGAATAAAAAGACCTAATTAAGTCATACTCGAAGAGTCAACCATGCTTCAATTGGAACCAACACACTTAACTACATGTTTATGGTTAGAGACAAGGTTTTAAAAAGAAATAGCTCTAGTTAGTAACTTTGTGATTCTTGAGTTGACTTTGATAATCATCGAGTGGTTTAATTGAACCATAGTGATCTTTAAACTTGAATGTGGTCGTTGTATGCTCTTTTACAATCTAATTGCGTGAGGGGTGAGATGAATTATTGCTAGTCTAAGTATCTGTGCGAAGGGTCTAGAACTTGCCCCGAATATGTTTCAAGGCAAAATCCTAAGTTTTGTTTGGTTTGAGAAGTGATTGTAGGATTTCCTTGGCCCGTTTGAGCCTTCTACTCCCAACCAATGTCGTTATCCCTAGTCAAACCCTTTGAGCATCTAGCCTTTCTCATTTGATAACCATGTTAAGAGCCTTTACCCGATTTGTCATGACCCTCTCTTGGCACCCGGACTTTCCTTAACACTCTTGTAAAACAAATGGCTTAAAACGTAAGTTTGGGGAAGAGATGAGGAATTTGAAAAAAGGTATCAAGGCACAAAAAGATAAAATAAATGATCTTTATAAAAAGAGAAGGCAAGAAAAGAAAAGAACAAAAAGAAAAATGCAAATCGTGAATAAGTGGAAGGGTTGATAGATTCAAAAGGAGGTAATGATCCCAAACATTGAGAAATCAAAAAGTGAGAAAAAAGAATGAAATAATCAAGAAAGAGTGATGTTAAGTCTCTCTAGTCCCCAATGAAAAGAAGGTGCCATTAAGAATTGACAATTGTGAGTCGAGAAATGAAAGTGTTGAGTGCTTAAGGAAAGGTGTAACCACTTACCCATATGGTATCCTACCCTAACCCAAAAGACCTCATTACATCCCAAAAGAAGTCCTACTGATGTCAAACAGAGTGAGCTTACATTAGTGGCGATTTACATGAGGGGCGAGCCTATGGTACTTGACGCCGTACTTGTGACATTCTCTTGTGAGAGATGAGTGAATCTTTCATGAATATTCGAATTGAGTGCTAATTGCTTAAGTGAGCTTGGAAAATGAAAAGAAAAGGAGGAAGAGTTTGGAGTCCACTATGCCCTACATGATAGAACAAGAGTCCTTGATTAGTAAAGTCAATTCTTGACGCTCAAATATCACATTAGAACTATATGTGCATGAATCTTTGACTTGTCACCTTGTTGATAATGCATGAGTAATTTGGGTAATTGTTAGTCCCAACTGATGTGGGAATGGCTCACCTTTGACTCGCTGAAATGACTCTTAACTTTAGGAGGTGGGAAATTATTTATTTGATTGAGGACAAGTAAAGACTTAAGTGTGGGGGAGTTGATAAGTGAGGATTCTGACTGCTTATTAGTACCTTTTTGCTTTTATTTTAGTTCAAAAGTATTAATTTGTATTCCCAAAACTAATAAAATTGTGCAAATTGCAGGAAAGTTGGAAGTTTTATCTCCCATGATGAAATTTGACTAAAAAAGGAGTGTTCAGAAGCACAGGGCAATAAAGAACGCATAAGCAAAGAAGTGCGGTCCGCAGAAGAAATTGCGGACTGCAGAATTTCATCTGCGGCCGCAACCTAATCTAAAGAACCTAACAGGATTTTGACAAATGTGCGAACCTCACATGAATTGTGCGGCCACAGAACTGGGTTTGTACTGACAAATAGTTCCATGTTAAGAGAGTGTGCCGAAGACCAAGTCCTGATGCCTTACTGAAGTGCGGACTGCACAAGAATTGTGCGGCCGTAGAAGTTACTTCGCAGCCGCAATTCAGAAATGTGCAGCTGCAGAATCCCATCTCCTGCCAACTAAAGAAATCTGCGGTCCGCACATGGAATCGTGTGGCCGCAGAACATGCCGAGGGGCATTTTTGTCAGCAAATTTTGGCCCATTATAAATAGACGAGTTTCATAATTTTAGGTCAAGTTTGAAGTAAAAAGTTGTTGTAGCCGTTACCTTTTGCCATTTCAGGAAGATTTTGATTATTTTAGTATTTAAACATTATACTTCATCAATTTAATCTTTGATTATGAGTTTTATTTGAATTTATTCTTTATTGTTTTCAATACCCACTATGAGTAGCTAGATTTTTACTAGGGTTGTGACCCAACCCTAGTGTGTAGACCTTATGAGTATTTAATTTAATGCTTGTTTATGATTAGGTGTTGATTATTTAGCCTAGTTCATGCTTCAATTTTAGAATTAGTGGTTGCAAACATTAATTCATGCCTTTTTGACTTAGTCTCTCCTTGAGAAAGAGGGACCTAGTCTAGGATAACTTGGCTAACAATGAATTGGGTTAATTGAGAGTTCGATTAGCCCAATTAAAGGGTTCAAACTAGAGATAGTAAGAACCCGACTTGAGCTCATATCAACTATTTTGTTTGATATCCATTTGAGTTTGAGAAAGCCAAATTGGGCAAAATCACTCTCTGACCAAGAGGTATTGAGTGGGTAATGTAGAGTTGAGAGCTATAATACACTCCAATCAACAAAACTAGTATTAACGTATTTAACCCATTGGGCGAACACCTAGGTCATGGTCACATCCCTAGGGTTTTAAACTATTTGAAAAAAATACTAAAAACATTCGTTCATTTCTAGTTTATTTTCTTTAGCCTACAATTGTTAGAGTTATAATAGAAGTAGAAATCAAGACTTTTAGTGGAAGTACAAATTTAGTTAATCCATTCGCTTTCTTCAAGTATATACTCGTAACACCTCTTATAACTCCCTGTGGATTCGACCCCGACTAATAGTTGGGTAATTTATATTGTATACGATCGTATCATATTTCTTATGGACGTCATCACATACCATAAACACTATGTTGGAAGGTTAAAAAAAAAAAAGGAGAATAAGAGAAATGGGAAAGAAATATAATAAAAAGAATTAGTACTTAATATATTTAAAAAGAAAAAGAAAAAAAGAATAGAAAAATTACATTATCTTATATTACATACACCACTAATTCTCACATCCCCTTTAAAAATTGAAGAGTTTAATTATACCCTATCAATTACACCCAATTGTATAGTGACCTGGCCAAACAAACATACTAAATTGCACCCAATTACACTCAAATATAATTTCTAACTGGCTTTCTAAACAGGCTCCTAAAGTTTTGTCTTTTCTATATTAAGGGGCGAAATCTTGGAAGTTGACTTAGAACATTGAATCCATGGCAACTTGTTCTATCATCCACTCTTTTTTTGGCACGGTGGCTCCACCATCATCAACCTCTAAGTTCCAAAACATGCCCAATTATTAATGAGAAGAAGAAAATTCAAAGTTCCCAATTTCTGTAAAAATAACTATGAAATATCACTACTTCAAACTAGCTAGCACCCATCATTTCTCTATCAGAATCTTGGGGATTAATATATTGTTGTAAACATGACCACCGGCAGCGCGAAACCGTTGAGTTTTGAAGAAGGATGGCCTATATTGCAAGAGGAAGCTATCAACAAGCTTATCCACCTTGTTGAAGGCCATAGTTCAAACCATTTCACTTCTCAAGAATATATGCGTATATATACGTATCCTTTTGCATCAAACTTTCTTATTATTGCTTTATGACTTTATCCATCTAGGCTTAGGCAAAATAGAAGAAATAAACTTTTTTGTCTGATCTCCTCTGTTTTTCATCTACGGAAGCTCGAGTATTTAACTTTCTAGTATGTTATCCGATCCTTCTATAATTATTTTCCTGAATTTTTCTTGCAAATGGTTGTTCAAGAAATTTTGTACTTCTAACTTTTTAGCGATTTATTTTTTGACATTTTCAGAATTTTCTAAATGATCCGGTGCTAACTGCTAACCTTCCCCCGCCCCCCTTTTTCCTTTGAAATATTTTTAGCTTCCTTTCTAGTCATTTTCCCTTGCATTATTTATTGTTGCCAGAAATACATGCTAAATCTTCCTCTATTGGTATTGCCTATGTACGTTACGAAAAAAATGCTATAAATTCGTTGACGACTAAGGGTGTGTTTGACGAAAATGAGTGGTTTTATTACTTATTTTTTCATATTTGATTGGTGAGTGAAAAATGTTTTTAAAAAAATATTTTTTAGTGTTTGTTTAGAGAGTAAAGTTTTTTTTAGAGATGAGGAATAAGGCGGGGAAGGTTGAAGAAGAGTAATGGAAGTTTTCCCTTTTCTTGATTGGGAAAATATTTTTTCCAATCGGAGGAAAATGAGTTCATGAGAAAAATATTTTTCAAAACATTTAAGCCAACTAAATATGGGAAAATTGGAAAATATTTTTCAGAAAATATTTTCTTTAGTACCAAACAAACCCTAAGTTTAAATAAATGCTGCATTTGTCTTTGTATTTTGCTGTTATTATTTCCAATTTGGATTTGTATTTCCTGATTGTGATATCCAGAACAGTCTACAACATGTGTGACAAAAATAATCGAGCTGGTCCTGAAGCTCTCAAATTATACTCTCAGTATAAGAAAACAATGGAGGATTATGTCTCCTCCAAGGCAAGAATTTTTCTTTTTGAGAGTTTATATGCTTGTTACTCACTTGTTAGCGACCACTCTATTAGTACTTCTTTTCAATTCTCTTGATATGATCTCTGTTCAGGGGCAGAACTAGAAGCTGAAGTACGGGTTTGGGCGTTGTACCCAGTAGCTTTAGTAAAATCCTCTATTTGTGCTAAGAAATTCTCTAAATATATATAAAAATTGAATTTAGAATCCAGTACTAATACCTAATGTTGCTATCCTATAATTTAGAATTCATAAAGTTCAGATCCTGACTCCACCTATGTTTCTGTTCCAGGTACTTCCATCAATCCAGGGAAAGGAAGATGAAATGTTGTTACATGAACTAGTTAAAAGGTGGAATAATCATAAAACCATGACTAGGTGGCTTTTAAGGTTCTTTTATTACCTTGAGAGATACTTGATACCTAAAATGAGGCTCCCTTCTCTTCAGGAAACTGCCTATTTGGCTTTCTATGAATTGGTTAGTTAGAGTTTTCATACTGTTGGATCAGTTAAATTCTTGTTGACGAATAATGGCTGTTTTGTTTTCTCATGTAAAAATGAATAATGACCGATCTATATATGCTGTAGGTCTATGGTGAAATGAATGATCGAGTGAGAGATACTGTGATATCTTTGGTAAGTTTACTAATAAGTCTAAAGAAGCTTAAGCTGATCTCTGAATTTTTCATTTGTTTCTTTTATTTACTTGTGATCATGATTTAGATTGACAGAGAACGCGAAGGAGAGCAAATAGATCAGGCCTTAGCGAAAAACGTTTTGGATATATATGTGGAAATGGATGAAGATTCTATGAAGTGTTACGCGAAAGACTTTGAAGAATCAATGTTGAAGGATACTTCTATATTCTACTCAACGAAAGCTTCAGATTGGATTGCAAGCAAATCTTATGAGGATTACATGTTGAAGGTTCCGTTTAATAGCTTGCTTTGCATATTGCACAAACTACATATATGCCAAATGTTGGTTTATGCTCTTTTGATGAAATTCAGGTTGAGGAATGCTTAAAGAATGAGGAAGGGAGGATTCAGAGTTATTTAAGATACATAAGAAAAATTAAGTTATTAGAGGTTTGTTGGCTGCATCGTCGTATTTTTTCAATTCTGATGCCTATAGCAGAATTAGTAGATGTTGTCTTTCCACCTCTTTTAGAAATCTGTTTAACTTTATGAGAGTATATATCTCAGCAAATTCATTCAAAAGGTTGAGTTTATCATGTTGATCGTATATGATTTGTGGCCTATTCTATTTTGCTTATTATGAAGAACCAGTAGCTTTTAGATCTCTGATTTTCTTCATCTTTGCTTCTGTTCCACTAGATATTAGTTGGAAAACAGTTTTATTGGTCAACCTAAACAATTTAACTAGTTTAACACCTGAAAATCGCCGTATCACATTGTTTTGATAATATCATATCTATAAAAGATTACCCTGTCTCTTTTCACAATTTCAATCAGCTCTGATAATCTGTTAGTAATGTTGTTTCACTGCCTGAATCAAAGTATTCAAAGCTTGCTGCTGTGAGATACTTAGAAATTCGACACGAGTTGGTCTTGCATAGTCAAGTATTCAAATATATATAATAAGATATTAGTCTGTATCTTTTAGTTCTAATCTTTTGTGCATCATGATTAGATTCTACATAAATTTTGTATGTTAGAGATAACTTGTGTACTCACTTTAAATGCAGGTTGTAGAATATGAGTTACTTACTGTACATGCAAGCAAACTAGAAGAGAAGAAACAAATCAATGTCGCAGCTGCTTAGAAATGAACACGTTTGAGAACGTTGTGCAAGTTTATGTCCCTTCTTGTATTACTAATTGAGATGTGCCTTTATGTGAGATCAAAGTTTTAATTGTTGATTTTTATCTAATAAAGCTGTTGTACTTATTTTCTTTACTTGTATGCTTTGGAGAGTGAACGTATTTGTATAAAGAAAGCAAATCATCGACAACGTCACCCTTTTCATATACATAATCGTAGGTTTCAGGTAGCAAAACATGCCAAATTATTTTGAGTTGACACTTCTATCTTCATGAAATGATGGACAAGCTGCAAATTCTCACCCAAAAGAGCAGTGTCAACATTTTCATTTCAGATACCAGAAGTTGTAGCAAACTGAAGATATGAAGAACTTCCTGTAGCATAGCACAAGTTGCATTGAACACAAACTCATCCCAATAGCCAGTAGAACTATAGAATAGTTTTGTCTATCCCAAGTTAGTTGTCATGTTTCGCTTCACAAGAGTTCAAACTATGTGACATTTGACCAATATTTTAAAATTGTATTTTTTTCATCATATTGACATGAGAAAAATAGCAAATTTTAGTACTTGTTGTATATTTGAATATCTAAATTTTAATTGTAAAACATTGAGTTAATCTAATCTAATTTATTCTATGTTATTCGAACTCTCCAAAAAGTCGTTGGGTGCATGTCGGATCCTCCAAAGGTAGTGCTTTTTGGAAGATCCGACACGAGTATGGCAGCATTTTGGAGAGTTTGCATAACATAAAATTTAGCTTCGAAGATTAATTAGTCAAATTTATTCTCGAGAAGCGAAACATGACAACTAATTTAGGACACATGGAGTACTGGTAAAACAAATTTCTTTTCAATTGGTCTCTAATTCCAGTAACTTTTCAGCACATTTCTTCCCAAGATTTAAATGGACATGACCATACATGAAAGAAGCAATGAGCTCCAAATCTCAGTATCTAAGCCATAATTAAGGCATCAACAAGCCGTTCTTACACATAAGGCTTTCTCTGCTAAGATCACCAGCAGCAGTGTTTTAAAAGGCATGGGCGTATGACGAGGCGTTTTACATATGCCTCAGCGAGGCGTCAGCCCCATAGGTATTTAATTTTTAATATTTTATAAAATAATATAATGACAATAAATATTTATAAACATGTAAAATTGCATAAAAATTGAAGAAAACTATAAATATATAAACATGTAAAATTGCATAAAAATTGAAGAAAACTATAAATATATATATATATATATATATATATATATATATATATATATCGATGAATAGAACTTTTATTATTAATTTGTTAAAGAATTTTGAAGGTCAACGATATTAATTTGGAAATTCGACATGTGATTTGTTAATCCCGCCAATATTGCTGTATTTGTAAATAATAATTCTGTAAAATATAGGTTATCGTAATGAAACAGTAATTAATTCGAGCCCACTGAATTCACAGTGTTTCCTTAAGGAAT